GGTTCTTTTTTGAATCACCTCTTTCATTTTATCATGCATACTCATGCAACACTTTGTCATGCTTTTGATCATACAGTCTGTCTCTCTCTCTCTCTGCCTCTCATATTCTCTCACAAATAAAATAGTTGATTAATTCAACTAGCTCACGCAACATCGAGCATTAACAGCAATGGCAGAAGGGGCATAGAGATGAAAATCCATGACATCTGTAGAGCTAAGAGATGGTCCATGGGGAATCCAAGACTTGCACAGAGCCCTCTGGGATAAGCAGAATTCAAGAGAATTAGAAGCAAAGGAGGGGCACTCCACGCAAGGGCATAGGACTTGTAAAGGCTTGGAGCTAGGAATAGCCTATATGAAGAATGGCCACTTTGAAATAGAGAGTGGCGTTGCAAGAGAGAAAGACGAGGAGGAGGCAGCACCTCCAATGTCAGAGTGGAGAGTGTGGTGTTTTCCTGGAGGGAAGGCACAGGTGTTAGTGCAGAGAAGAAATGTGGAGGGGGAAAAAGTCAATGCTTTACGGAACGTAGGCAAGTAACAACATGGGAGATGAGTGGCAGCAAGCCTCACAACAGGGCATCCAGTGGAGGGGTGGGAATGGAAGGCTCAGTGGGAACAAAGAGGCCTGAACTCATTGTTGGTGATGGAGACAGAAGGGAAGGTAGGAAAGATCAAAGGACACTGTGGTTAGATTTGGAATGAAGGGAGGAGAGGAGATTCAACATGACATCAAAGGACTGGCAGAGAGGGAAGTAGGTTAGAGGAGAAAGATGGGGGCAGGGATGCAGCCAGTCCTGATGTCGGGGACGCTGTCCCATGCACATCTACACTCCCAGATCCAGCGTAAAGTTGTGTAAAGTGGAGTCCACCTGTTTTTAGGATGGCTCCAGCTGGAGTAAAAAATGTTAGGATGAGGCCGGGCGCGGTGGCTCACGCCTATAATCCTAGCACTCTGGGAGGCCGAGGCAGACGGATTGTTTGAGCTCAGGAGTTCGAAACCAGCCTGAGCAAGAGCGAGACCCCGTCTCTACTAAAATTAGAAAGAAATTAATCGACGAACTAAAAATATATAGAAAAAATTAGCCGGGCATGGTGGCGCATGCCTGTAGTCCCAGCTACTTGGGAGGCTGAGACAGAAGGATTGCTTGAGCCCAGGAGTTTGAGGTTGCTGTGAGCTAGGCTGACGCCATGGCACTCTAGCCCGGGCAACACAGTGAGACTCTGTCTTGGAAAAAAAAAAAAATATGTTAGGATGAGGCTTTCAAATTTTAATGCGCATAGGAATCACCTGGAAAACTTGTTAAAGGGCAGATTCTCATTCACTGGGTTTGGCGCTGGACCTGAGACTGCATCCCAGTGGGTGCTGATGCTGTTGGTTTGTGGACAATACTTTGCACAGCAAGAGGTTAGGGGGTTTCTATGCAGACAAGCCAGGCCTGAAGCCCACGGTTGTTCAAAAAAAAAAAAAGAAAGAAAAAGACCAAAACAAGCAGTTCCTTTCTCATCACCAGGGATCATCATCCTGCCAGGGACTATCCAGTTGAAGGCGAAGGACATTCTCTACCGACTACAAATGTCTAAAGCCAAGGCCATCGTGACCACAGACACCCTTGCCCCAGAGGTGGATTCTGTGGCTCCAGAGTGCCCCGCTCTGAAAAACAAGTTCCTGGTGTCTGATCACAGGCGGAACGGGTGGCTGGACCTCCGGTCACTGATGAAGTGAGTTTCCGGTCTGATGAATGTGGTCTCTGAGGAAAGAGGAGAGTAGGGCGGCCACTCCCAAGGGCTGGGAGACAACAGCCAGTTATGGGAAGCTCACCAGGTCTGATGTCAGAAACCTTCTCTTCCCAACTCTGTCACTGATTTTCTCTGTGACCTTGGACTAGTTCCTTCCCCCTCTTTTTGGTCTCATAAAAGTTGAACTTTTTTAGGGAGCTGAACTTACACGTTCCTCTCGTTAAAGGACACTCACCCCTGGGACTGTGCAAAGGAGATGTGTAAAGTCAGGGGGCGATGGCATATTCCTGGTAGGTGGGAAATCTAAAATCTTATTTTTATATAACAAATAAATTTATAAAGAAGTTGAATGAAATATTAAAATGCATTTTTTTAAGGTGAAACTTGAGACTTCAAGAAAAAAGAAATTGCCAGCTATGGCTGGCCTGTCACTTTCCATTTCCCAGGGCCTGAGTTCTTTCAGAGACAATTTTCAGGCAAAGTTAAGGAAGTGTTGGAGGTAAGCAAGACCCCTGCCACCTCCAAATCTCTGCTTCTATAAGCATTCGGGCACATCTCATAGCACACGTGCAAACCATACTGGGTTTATTTTCTTGGAGTAACACTTGAATTTTTAAAGCTCTTTGTTTCAACCTATAAAGATAAACATTACAGCGAAGTCACATCTTATGCTGGATCCTAAAGTCACAGAATTTAATGCAAACAGCTTAAAAATCAAGAAAATTCTTGAAAACTCCCTCAAATTGTCCAAAGTCAGTATAGTGCCATTTCTCAGCCAGACCAGCAGAGCCAGGGTTTCCTCCAGTGTTGGGATGATTTGCAGTTCCTTTGAACATCATGGGATGCTCACGTGTACAACGACAGTAGGCCCAAGGGCCTCTCCGTCCAAGAGAAGGTCCTAAGAATCAAGGCAGACCAAAAGAACCACAGATTCCATCTGCCACCTCAACTATATGCCATGGCAAATGTACGCCAAATGTGGTAATTAGGTATATTTCTGAAACTCTCATTCTCCCTCACTTTCTCTCCCCACCCCTCTTCACTGAGATGACAGAGTTAAATTCCTATAAATCTAGTTTATGTAAAAAAAAAAAAATCTTAACAGTGTGGTTAAGAGCACAGACTACGGCTCAGACAGGGTTTGAATCTTGGCTCTGCCACTTGCTAGGTAGACATCTTCAGGCAAGTTATCTAACCTCCCTGAGCCTCTGTTTCCTTATCTGCAAAATGGGCATGATGAGAGGAGTACTTGCCTCCTAGAGTTGCTCTGAGGACTGAATGAGATCATATTTGTAAATCGCTTAAAGCATTTTAAGCACTTTAAGTGATTTACAAGTGCTATTTAAGTGTTCGTTAATTTTTTTTCAATTCACTGTATGTTCTCAGTGTTTCAAATGAAAAAATGCTACTCCACTCGTCTGAATCACCCATAAAGTCACTTTGATGCCTAGCACTGAGAGATCTAATTTTTTCCTCCAGTGATGCCAACTCCCAGTTTCCTGTCTATGCCTTGTGTTCTTTCTTTTGCTCCCCAGAGGATGGAGAAAAACAGCACACGTGACTTTTCTCCTTTTGTCTTGAATCTGTTTGCAGCTCAGCATCCCCAGACCACACTTGTGTTAAGTCAAAGACGATGGACCCCATGGTCATTTTCTTCACCAGCGGGACCACAGGCCTCCCCAAGATGGCAAAGCACAGCCATGGATTGGCCTTACGAGCCTCCTTCCCTTCATGGTAGGAAAGAGGGCACCACTTAGCGGCTGGATCCTAGATCTGGGGCAAGGGATGTGTGCGCATGTGTGGTGTGTCTGTGTGTGCACGTGTGTGTGTGTGTGTGTATATGTGTGGTCTGTGTGTGTGTGTACGTGTGTGTGTGTGTGTGTGTGTGTGTGTGTCATTGGGACAAGAGCCCTAAATAGAAGTGACACCATCCTGTTTCTCCCTTCCACTCTCTGTGGTTCAGGCCTCTGAGGGTCTGAGAAGGAAAGGCTGGGAGTCCTAAATGTTTGCCGACAGAGGCCTCCGAACAACAAAGGGGGTTCAGTTGGGTCCTACCCAAGCATCTTCACAGGAGGTGTAGAGAACATGTGGGTGAAGCAGCAGGCACTCTGCAAGCCGCGCAAATGACATGCCATTATTTTCCTAACAGCAGCTCCACAGTTTATTGGGAAAAGACAGAATATTCCAGCAATGTGACCTGAGGTGATAAGACTCCCTTTTCTTCTCCACTATGGGCAAATCAGACTTGGAGTTTCGCAATTATAAACTGCTAGGGAAGAAAATATCTGGAACCGAGCTATGCCAAGCCACTGCCCCTAACCTACAATAAACAATCCATGCAGGCTGAAGCTCTAACTGTGGATTAATCATTTAATCAATTCTAAACCAATCCTCTACATCTGTAGTTCCCAACCCCCAGGCCAAGGACTGGTTCCACTCCGTGGCCTGTTAGGAACCAGGCTGCACAGCAGGAGGTGAGTGGCAGGGAAGTGAGTGAAGCTTCACCCGTATTTACAGCCGCTCCCCATCGCTCGCATTGCCACATAAGCTCCTCCTGTCAGATCAGCGGCAGCATTCGATTCTCATAGCAGCACAAAACCTAATGTAAACTGCGCACGCAAGGGATCTAGGTTGCAGCTCCTTATAAGAATCTAATGCTTGATGATCTGAAGTGGAGCTGAGGTGGTGATGCTAGTGCTGGGGAGAGGCTGCAATACAGAGTATCATTAGCAGAGAGGTTTGACTGCGCAACAAATGTAATACGCTTGAATCATCCCCAAACCAACCCCCCTGCCAGTCCATGGAAAAATTGTCTTCCATGAAACTGGCCCCTGGTGCCAAAAAGTTGGGGACTGCTGCTCTACATCTCTTTCCCTCCTCCTTTCCAACTAGTAACATTCATAAACACGAAGTTCTGTGTATTTTCTAACTTATTAACCAGAACAGGGGGTGGAGAATTCTTCTTGTGGGCAGTGCCTATTTGCACGAATGATAACAATTGAGTAGCAAAAGCCCTGGAGGGAGAGGGAGGAAGATGGCTGCCTGGAGACGTTGGTCACTAGATCGTCTCAGAAAGAAGAAAAAGTTTTAGATGGAAAAAAACATAGGCCAGGTGTAATTCTGAGGAAGAAATGCCAGAATCTACCAAAGATCCCGTGGGAAGAAATCACAGAGCAGCACAAGAAGGAGTAAAATTGCAGCAGAGATCAAGCTCTGAGGAATTTGGAGCCCTGTGGACAGGGCAGGTGGGGATGTTTGTTCTCCTCCTCCACATCTCTAGCAGACTCAAGGCTCACAAACTGTTGGAGCCCAAAAGCTGCTGCCGCTGCCAGGGAACTGGGAGCTTTTTAGAACAGAGCACCAGGCTTCCAGCCCCTTCGGGGTCACTACCACTAACCACAGCCCTGAGCTGAGGTGGTGAGTGACATACTGCTTTTCTACTCATTGCGTGCCTTTGTCCTCCCCAAGGAGCTTCAACCCTTCAATTTGCTTGTCACTGATACCCCCTCAAACGTTTCCCAATGCCTGCCCAGACTGCGGTGGCCACAGGGGACCAGCGGATCCTGGGGGATCTGTGTGATCCCAGAGATTGGACATTCAGGGAGGGCTGCCTTCAGAGAGGAGGGACAAAGGGGACCAGAGTGCCAGCTCTCCTCCATTTAGACTCTTTTCCACCTCCCCTCCCCTGCCCTCAGCTACTGACGCAGCCGTGGCAGTTCCCACGTGATCCAGCATGGGTGCCCCTAGGGACGATTGAGCTGGGGCTCTCAGGAGCAGCTGCTGCCCCACAAAAAGGCTTCCACAGAGAGTGGGGCTCACACCTTTCCTCTTAAAGACCTGCAGCAGACCCAGGGGTGCTAGGACTGTGAGCTGAGAGCACTGTCAGCCCTCCCCAATGCTGCCCGCCTGGCTGCTCCAGCAGAGCGGAGCAGGTATACCCTGAAGCAGAGGGACATCAAACCTGCTTGAGCACTCCATGGGCACCTCCAGACCAGCACACTTCTCCCTGGCACAGTCAGGAATTGGACTTGGAGGATCAGAGGACAGGCCTGCAGGCCAGACCTCAAACACCCAGGACTCGATTGTGTGCCCCAAAACAAGGCAACGAAAATTGCAAAACAAACCCAAGAAGGGAAGGAACCCAACGGGGAAAAAACAAAAAGAAGGGCCCGGAAGAAGCCCAACCCCAAGGCCCCCCGGAAACAACCCCCCCCCCCACGGGAGGGCTAGACATGAGAGATGCCGGGTGGTCAAGGCTGGCTTCCGGGTTTGGTGCTTGGACAATTTCAGGGACAGTGATTACGTGTCTGAGATACAGAGAACACGGGAGGAGAATCAGTGCAAGGGAGGCAGTATGATTGAACCAGTTTCAGTTGTATGTGATCGGGAACGTGATTTGGTGATGCATCTTTGAGACCAGGCGTTGAGGTGGTCTGGAGCCCCACATAAACCCCACACTGAGGTGGAAGGGGTGAGTCCCCAGTTGAAAACCAGAGTCCTTAGCCCTTCATCACATCCTTCCGTGATCACACAGCTGAGGCTACTGCATTTTGGAGTTAGCAGGAAATTAATGGACCTCAAGATGTCTGATGTCTTCTGGTGCCTGTCGGACCCAGGTTGGGTTATGTGTTTCTTCGGGTCCCTGATTGAACCATGGACAGCAGGATCTACAGTCTTTATCCATCATATGCCCCGAGTTGACCCCAAGGTCATTGTACAGGTAAGAAGACTAACCTTCCAGTATTAATAAACTCCCATAGGAAACCCACGTTTCCAGGCCAAAAGCTGGACCCTGCTAAGAAATATTTTGTTGAGTAAAGAAGGCCAATAAGTGTAAGGTGACCCTGGTTCTGGGCTTCTTAAAGTGTGGAGCATTGAATCAGAGTCATTGTATCAGAGTCACATCAAAATGTAACCTGGAAGAAAATGCATATGACCAGGCCATTCCCCAGATCTCTGGATCAGACTTTGTAGACTTGTAGAATGTGATGCATTTTGAGAAATTAAATTAACCACAACAAGCCCAAGTCTCCTGGATGCTGGTTCCTGACTCTGCAAGGGCCAGGTAGGTGGGGTGTGTGTGTGCATGTGTGTCTGTGTAAACACACATGCATATGTTGTTACTTAATATAATGAAGTGTTTAAAAACAAGCCCTTGGAATATCTAACTTCTTATCCCACGTTTGAAATTAATTAGCAGCTTACTTACCACTCTGAGCCTCAGTTTCCTTCTCTGTAAAATGGGACTTTTAATCGTTACTACCTCATAAAATCGCTGGGAATATTAACAACATACTGCAGGAAAGTGTGTAAAGTGTAATACTTAGCACTGAGGCTGGCACAGAGAAAACGCTTGGTAAATGATAGCTGTTGCTGGTTTTTATTAGTAGTAGTAGTAGTAGTAGTACATCCCAATGACAATTGCGGTCACCTGCATGAACTCCTTGGGTGTACATCTCTTCACGAGAAAATTCTCTCTGTGTCTCCACCCCCACCCTTGCTTTCCCTCTCAGAGGCAGACTTGCCCCTCCACCTCTCAAAGTCCACCCGACTTCTGCAACCACTGCGGTTCTGTTCTTCCCTTGCCCTTGGATCAGGAGCCTCTCTCCATTCATCTTTCACCTAGTCAACCTTTTTCCCTGTATTTCCAATCTCTCACTTTTCATTAGTTTCACTCCCTCAGTCCATAAACACATTCAGTGTTCCCATCCTAAAAATACCTCCCCTTGACCCTGCTACACATTGGGTCAAACCCTTCTTTTCTCCCTTAATAACAAACTTCTCCATAGAACGTTCTCCGCTTGCTTCCCCCAGCTTACTCTGGAACCCTGCAGTCCTCCAACAGTCTGCCCTTATTTTTCCTCTTTCTTCCAAGCAATCTCCTTCGATTTCTTTTTTTTTTTCTTCAGCAAACGCATCAATGCAGGTGGTTCTCGAAACTGTTCGTCGGGTCTCCTCTTCTCTGTCCAGGCAAATTCCCCCAGGCTAGCAGGATATTCCCAGTTGGCCAGTTGGTCAAGTCCATCCGATCATCCCTCCAGCATCTCAAACTGCCCTTCCCACCCATATCATTTCCTGCACCCATGCCAGTATCTCCTGACTCACCACCGTTCCTTCCTGCGCCTGAGACTGTCAGCGGCACAAGCGGCACTGACCACCCTTCCACCCTCACCACGCTTACTTCTCCATCTGCTACAGGGAATGTCCCAAAAGTCTTCATGTATTTTCAGCTTGACTAGTTCAAATAGCCTACAAATTTAAAAAAAAAAAGCATTTGAAATTTTAATTATTTTTATTTTCCACTTATTACTTTTGTTTATTATTAATAATAACCTTTAAAATTCATTTATTGTTTCACTCCCTCTTCTTGAAGATGGAAGATATTGATTAAAACAGAAAAGTTTAAATTAAAAATTTACTATTCAAATTCACAAACCATCTCCTCTCTGCCTGCCCTCCCCAACTTACCCCTTCTTGCCAGATCTGTTACAAGAGACCCCTGCTCTCTGCCCCACACCCTACTGAGAACTGCAAAGCACCAGGGTGAGTCACAGATTACAACTTAGATGGTAACAGCCAGAGCCCACATTTGGTGAGCACCTACTAAGCGCCAAGCTCTGGGAAAGGCCCTGGACACACGTGATCTGTAATCCTCACCCGCTAAGCAGAGCTCCCTGGGCTGCCAGTAACAGAAACTCGCTTCAAAGTAGCTTAATGGACAAAGGAATATGTGGGAGAGGGACACTGGGACATCTCATGATGCCGCAGGAGGAGCGCAGTGGAGTTTGACAAGGATCTGGAACAAGAACCAGAAAGACACCAGGAATCAAGGCAGCTTCTGTGTCTTTTCCGTTTCTCTCTGGGATCTGCTCTCTTCTTGCTGTTTGTAGAACCGCTTTTGCTCCTTCACACGCACAAGGTCAAACGTGGCAACCACAGCATTCCCGGGCTGATGCTCCCCCTTCCCAGATGACCGGCCGGATGGACTGCAGGCTGAGCGGTGCAGCCCAAGGCAATTGTCCACCACCAAGTCCCAGAGCCAGCCCTCTAGGCCTGGGGCGAGGTTGCAGACGCAGATAGGGCTGGATGGGGGTGACACGTGGAGCGGCACCCTTTGGGGTGGGAGCATTGGCCCGGGGGTGAGAGTAGAACTAAAATTTTAAAAGAGGCAGTAAATGTGAGATATTGTAGAGGCGGAAGCCAGGGAGTGAAAGCTGATTGGGTCCAGGAAGAGAGAGTCTGAGAGTGGAGGCCGATTTCCCCCAAAGTGCCCGTTATGCCTCATCATGGATCTGCGTGGAATACATAGATATTCCCGTTTTACAGATAAGGAAATAGAATTGCAGAGGAATTAAGTAAGAGCGTTTAAATTTAGATTGGGCAGACCCCCAAACCCACATTCTGCCCCCTTTACTGTTCCTCTCTCTCCTAGTGTATCTCCACCCTGATCTGAAACTCAGAAAGATAATAGGGAATATGTATACTTTAAATAATAAGTAATCTGGATCCAACCAACCTCAACCTTCCTAAATTTAGTTCTTGCTCCTCACCAATGGGTCTAAATAAGTCATATTGTTTCACTTGCCTGAAACGTTTCTTCAGCTCCTGAGACTTGGTTTCCTGTTATTCATTCTTTCTCCAAGAGTGAAGAACCCTATTTCTCCACCTGTACACACCATACCCATTTGCTAATGTCCCAACTAAACGCCACCTCTTCCGTCAAGCTCCCTGGACCACCCAACCAGAAGGAATATTTCCCTCTGCTGTGTTCTTACAGAACCTTCTTCGCGTCTCTCCCAGGACATCTACCAACTTCTGCGTGACCATTGAGTCCTGTTTTATCCCTCTGTTAGTCCCTGCTCTCCATGGGAGTTGGAACACTGTCTCACTCTTTTTATATTCCCCACACTACCCGACACATACCGTGTGTGAAATTCATGCTCAATACACATATATTGAAAGAATTAACAAATAAATAACCTGGCTCTCCGAGAGGGTAGATCAGGACTAAACTGCTAATAATTGGCTGGTATTTTTAAGCTTAACTAAAAATAAAACTTCTTCTCTCTTAACTTTCCAGACGTTGTTCAAATATCCCATCACCCAACTCATGGGGGTGCCATCCATATTTCGAATGATCCTGCAGCAGAATTTCACCAGGTAGGTGGAAGTGGCTGGTAACAGCAATCTTTGGGTGGGATTTTGAGGAATTTGATGCATCGTGGTCTGTTTTTCCTCTGGTTTTTTGAGGAGCGTGTGTGTGTGTGTGTGTGTGTGTGTAAGCGTTGATGGTGACAATTATTAACCAGTCGAACTAATTAAAGCAGAACCCAAAGATCCAAGAGAAACACTCAATGAGCCGTACATCATGGCGGGATTATTCTTTTTTAAACATTTTTATTGTGAAATAACAAATGTACAGGAAAATACATACGACATAAATTTACAGATGAATAAATTATTGATGAGAAAACGCCCATGTAAGTACTCGCCCAAATCACAAAAATATAATATTGCCAGCACCCCAGAGACTTCCACATGCCTCCCTGTGTCTCCTAAAGGATCCACTTGCTTGACTTCTATGGTGTTCACTTCCTGACTTTCCTTTATAGTTTACCTCCTAAGGAAATATCCTGAAACAAAAAATTCCATTTTACATGCTTTTGAACTTTACATATGTAATTGTACACTATTCTATTATACCTGGAACACTATGTTTCTAAGATGTGTCCCTGTTGTTGCATATTGCTATAGTTAATTTTCATTACTGTATGGCATCCCATTTTATGAAAATACCACAATTTTTTACATCAATCCTGCCATTAATGGACATTTAGCTAGTTTTCACTTTGCAGTCATTGACGATTAATGCTGTGTTGAGCTCTGGTACATGCACCCTGGCGGATATAAGCACACATTTCTCCCGAGTTTTTCCAGGGGAAGAATTGCAGGTCACACTGACACTGCAAAATACCACACTACTTTTCAAAGTATAAAACCAATTTATGCCCCCACTGGCAAGATGAGAGAATTCCCATTGTTCCACATCCTTGCCAACACTTGTTATTGTCAGAATTATTTAATATTAATTTTTGCCAATCTGATGGATGCGTTATCTTACTACAGCTTTATTTTTGCATTTCCTTGTGTTTTGGGGGTTAATTTGTAGCTAGCCTGAAATCTTCTTTTTGAAACTGATGGGCATTTACCTATCTTTCAGAGACTCTGAAATTGACATGGCTACTTCAAAAATCACAACTAACATGTTTTAGACATCAGAGTTAAAATATCAAAGAGTTTAATGATAACCCTTACGGAGCTAACTCTGAATTACAGCCAAGTTGATTTTACATGTGAAGCTTCAATCTGGCTGTATTCTGTTTCCACTTGTATTTCAAAGCTCATTTTACAGCAACATTTTGCAACATTCCTCAAACGATGGCCTTTGTCTAAACCCAGTAAAAATCTCATCAGGGCATAAGGAATAACTCCACCTGAGACACTGCCTGCTTTATGTACTTTGGATAAAGCTCCTGAGGAGTGAGGAAGACACCCTCAATGAGCCTGGCCTCCTCTTCATCACTATTGACTCTGTCTAGACCAGGAGAGGGTGATGGGGGGAGGGGAAGTGGTCCAGATGTTGCTACTTTCCTCATCACCAAGAGCTGTCCGGGCTCAGCCTCACGCCAGCTGGATTCATCTGGCTCTCAGACCTCAACCACTAACCCCCCGTCCCCTGTTACCTTCAGGGAATCCAATCATTATTTTGTGATTCTTTAGGGAAACCTCAGGGGGAAAATGCAGGAGAGGCTTTGCATCACATGACGTACCTAACAAACTACTACAAATGTTCTCAGCAGATTTTGCTGTTCTCTCTGAAATTCTTCCTGTCCTGGCTGCTACCTGCGCCCCTTCTCCTCCCTTTGCCTTCACTCTGTCCAGCCTTCCCTGATGTCCTGAACGATTCATTTCCAACCCCTAGTGTGCATTCCCTATTTAGAAATATTAACGCAAAAGCCCTCCAGTTAGCATTCCCCAGCCTCCATAGAAGGAAGAGCAGCTCCGTTATCACCCCAGTGTGTCCGTGGGGTCTTGTCCCTCACTCCTTTATGGGTTGTTAAAAACGTCCCTCTGGGCCGGG